AAGTTGGTAAATGTCATTGCAGCTGCTTCTGAAATTCCAGCAGTAAGCCCTCTTGCCACGGAATTGCGAGGTCGTGTATCAGTGCTTCCATACCAGTTTTTATGTAAAGAAAAGGTTGTCTGTGTGCTGTGATACTGCATCACACATGGTGCCCTGTGGGGGTACCTTGCTGTAACTGGGTATGGCTTCGTACTTCAGGAGACCTATCCATGTATCTCCTAAACTGTATCCTAGACCCACTGGGAGAAGCAGATGGTAGGGTTTGAAGGGCTCGATCTAGGTTGCTTTTGTTGGTTTTTTGTTTTTTTTTTTTACCCAGTTGCTCTCCTGGGAACTCGCTGCAGGGATCTGCTTGCAGATTTAGTCTCACATGAGAGAGTGGTGGTTCCCCAGTCTTTGCACTTCTGTGGTTAAACACTCGACCCAGCTCAACCACATGTAAATTTAGTTTTAATCCTTCTTGTAGGGTTTGAATCCTTGTAGTAATACGCTTTTGGGGGGAAACATTTTTAAAGTAGTTTGTTTGAATAAAAATCTCAGACTAGCAAACTAGAAGGCCACTAGGTTTGAATGGAGGTTTTCTTAACGTGTTTCCCTGAAGAGGAGCCTGATTCTTGGCACTCTTTCTCATCTTCTGAAGAACAAAAAGGGAGAGAGTGTGCATGTGTAAGACAACTGGCTGCTGCTGTCAGAATGCACGTGTCATTGGGAATATGAAATCCAGGCTTTAGAGCTGCTGCAGTCTCACCCCGTCTCGCCCTGCTAGAGCAGACGTTCAGCTGCCACCTGGGTTTGTTTGTGGCCAGCCCCCCGAATTTATCTTCCTCATATGGCCAAATATCTTCATCCCCGTGGCAGTGTGCTTGAGTGGAGAGCCTGGTGAGTGCAGTGGGGCCTGGGGATACGGGATGAAAATCAGCGGCTGCTCCGCTGAGCAATTCCTCAGTGGACCAGCTCCCAGCCAGGCTGTCAGAGCTGGATTAAAGCCTTCAGCCCTGGAATTCCCCATGTAACAGCCAGCTTTTGTAATATACAGCACCTTTGATTACAAATGTGTGCTGTGTTTACAGTTAATATCAATTCTTCCTGGATAATTTTTGCCCTAGTGCTGGTTCTGAGCGCTAACCTAGAGAACGCATGAAAATGAGATTAGGAGGCTTTTGTTGATCCCCCCAGCCCCGTGCTCTGATTTGTGCTGGGGCTTCAGGCCAGGCTGTAAATTGCTGATGCACAGAATTTATTCAGCTTTGTATTGATCAAAGCTGTATATTTATGTGGGGTGTTTTATAGCAGGAATCTGGGCAGACGCACCTGAGAGAGCGGGTGGTTGATGGTGTTCTCAGATGTCCCACTCCTTGTGCTGGTGGCTTTGGGCACAGCAGTGATGTTTGCCACCTGCTGCAAGATTCAGTACACGTTTGTGTGAACAGATGATGTTCTAGCCCTGGAAAATTGGGAATAACGTGCTTTCCTGTGCCTGTGGTGCCCTGGCAGGAGCGGTGCAGGTCCCTGGAGCCGTGCTGCAGGCTGCCTGTGTCCCTGTGACCTCCCAGGTACATCTGCGAGCTGGGAAATCCCCTCATTAAAAAGCTGTGTGTGTAACAACACTGATGGGACTAGAGCAGAGTGAGTGCCTCCCGTGGGAATAGTGCTGTGGGTTTGGAGCTCCTCCTTTAAACTGAGAAGGTCATTTCTTTGTTCTGGGTGTTGCTGGTTCAGGCAGTAATTCGTGGCTCCATCACGCACAGGGATGTTCAGGAGAGCACAGGCCTGTCTTGTAGCCGTGGGAGACGTCCTGACGTATTCACAGGCTGCTGTAGTTCAATATTTGAACTGGCTGATCTCTCTGATTTCCTCTTTCCCTCTGGTGCTTTACAAACTCCAGAAATGTAAGTTTTTAAAAACAATGACCGTGGTGCTGTCCAAACTGAACCATCCCAGAATCACTGCCCTGGCCCTGCTTTGGTTTCCCCAAACCAGTGATGGGTCTCATCAAGGCTCGAGTCAAAGGCAGAGTCAGTTTATTGTTTGCCTTAATCCTGCAGTCACAGATACCTGCAGGGTACAGCCTTGCTCTGTATATTCTTCACTGTTTATGCCTTTGTTTGTGTAAATTCTTGATATTGAGAGAGGTTCTCTCAATCTCTGTCCTGTGCAGCTCCTAATTTTGTGGTGTGCTCATGAAAAGGGCTCCATAATGCTGTAGACACAGAAGTTGTTAGGGATGCATCCTGCTGTGAGCTGAGATTTGCATAAAATGATTCTTACTTGAGGGATGAGTTTGAGTTTGCTGTTACATTTCTGGATCTTCAGATTTGATTTGAAATATTTAGTACAGAATGGAAATGCAGGTCATTCTTTAAAGAGTTTGGTTGGGGGGTATTAAATTTAAACTATTTATCGTGAAATACCTAAACCCAAACAGAAATGGAGGATGTGTGAGGATGTGACTATTCCAGCTAATGAGCATATCCAGCTTTTAAGGATGAAGGAGCCACTTGAGTAGATTTGAACTGACTGTGTGACAGTCCTGGTGAAGTGGGACAGCATGTCAAGACCTGAATTTAATACTGGAAATAACAATATGTTGGGGTTGTGCCGAGCTCCACACACAGTGCTTTGGGGGAAGGCACGGAGCAGGTCCACAAGCCTGGTCATTTAGTGTGGATTCCTGCAGGAAAAGAGCTGTTGGATAACTTTAGACTGTATTTTTTAGACATAGTACCCTTCTCCAAGTTGCTCTCACCACCCAAATCAGTAGTGACCAAGAAAAATAAATCTTAGTGCTCACATTTGATCAGGGCATATACACTTGAATATTTTTCAATTCTCTGCCTAAGTGTTTTATTTCACCTTGTCTGTGCCTTCTCTGAAGATACAGTGAGACTTGCAAGGCATCCTGTTGACCAGGGGAGTTATAAGTTGGCTCTGAACCACATGCAGTTTGTGGTATTTCATAATTATCTGAGTGAACTTTCAGTGCTCAAAAAAAGGAAATAGGAAATGGCAATTAGGCAGAACTTTCACTCTCCAATCACGTCTATACTGCCTTGCCATTGTTACTTACAGCTTTCAAGAGCCTCCCTGGAGGGCTCTATATTAAGTAATTCATCTTGTTTAACACTTCAGTGTGAAGCACGTGCAATTAATTGACAACATATAGAAATAATGGTCTGATTAATAGAGATCCAGTTCCTGAGAGCCGAGACTGGTTTTCCTTTACAAGCTTTACGGTTGATTGTTCTTTTCAAGTTCACTAATGATATATATTTATTTGCCACTGGATCTGCGAAGGCAAAATTGAAATCCAGTTTGTGAGTGAAATGAAAATCTGTATGTAGCTCTCCTGCTCCTGTGCCATTAAACAACCAGAAATGTGATAGTCCTAATTGTTGCATGTTTAGTACAGCTAATAGAGTAATAATGATAGGGTAGCTTTATAAAGAAAAGGTTTTTAAAAAACCCCAAACCCACAAACAGCAACAACAAAAAAACCCCAGCAGAAAACCACAACCACCAGCCCCATTCTTACATCTTTTATTAAACACAAAGTGTGTTTAAAGATGCTTAAATATTGCACAGAGCTGAACTGTGAATTGATCTTGGTTTGAGAGCTGCTGTTGTGGTTGGGCTGGGGAATGGTGGGTTTAAGGCAGTGTGGTGTTCCCCTAAGGCAGCAATTTTTGTGCAAATTGTTGTGTTTGGAGGCTCAGCATTACCCTGTATTTGCTGACTTACTCGCCTACCACATGTTTAAAGGTGGTGTTTTGGTAGTGTGACAAGTTTTAAAGTGTGTGGTTGGGAATTGGGGTTCAAATTAGAAATAATTCCAGTTTAAAAAAAGAGGGATGAAGGAAGAGGTTTAGGGTGTGTTGATAGAAGTGTTTTATCTCAACGTGAACAGCTAGCTGTGAGCTTGGGTCTCGCTAAGCAGGAGGCCTTGGGGACTTTGGGTCTTAGGTGGGGACTTAAGAGTGGGTTTGCTTCCAGGAGAGGAGCCTAAATGCCTCCCAAGTACTTAGGCCACGGTTGCTAATCCTGGCTTAGGCTCGGTCACACCAGCAGCCCTCAATGGGATTTGTCATTTTGAAGGGACACAGCAGAGTGCCCAAAATAGGCTTTTAGCCCCCAAGGAGGCAATTCCAAGCCTGCCCGGGGGTCAGGCCTGGAGTCCCCTGAGCCAGGGGAAGGAGCAGGAGCAGGTGCCTTGGCTTTGGGGTCGGTGCCTCTTTGGTGTTCAAAGCACCCAGTGCTCTGCATCTCTCTGCCCCTGCTCTGCCCTGCAGGGGCAGGGCTGGGATGTGCTTGAAGGCTCCAACTCCACTCTTTATCTGGCTGTGCAGAGCGGGTCTGGGATCCATCCTGAGTCAGCAGCACGACGTTCTCCGTTAGTTTAGCTCATCTCTACAGAGGTACCACCATTGTAGCTTCTTTGTCTAACATGTGTCTGGTATTTTCCCCTAACTGTGGTGTTTGAATATAGAACTCTCATTTCCATAACATCCCATGTGTGCTCTAAGAACTGGGCTTCCCTTGAGGAAATGCTGATCCCCACAGGAAACCGATTTTGGTTATAATAGGCAACATTGTTGGAATACAACTGTCCCATGTTTACCTTTCCTAGAGATACTTTTCTCACTATTATATAAAACAAAGGTGATACATAAGGTGTTCCAACCATATGTATGAAAACCAGGGACACCTGAAGTGGGAGTTATTGTTTGTAATGCAGTCGTTGGCTTTTCTCCACATTATCCTTATTACTTACATATATATATATATATATATATAAATATATCTGTATGTATATATAAAAAAGGCAAGTACATGCCTTACCTTTCTTAAGTAATTCCTGTGTGTGTGCATATAAACTCAGCTTACATTACAGTACTTGGTTAATTGCAAAAGACCTTGAGGACCCCGTTTTTCCACAAGTGAAGCCTTTTTCTGTGGTGCGTGTTGTGCCTTTGCTGTCTCTAACGAGCTGCTTTGTGTGACAGGTGGGAGATTCAAGAAGGAGATAGTAGTTGATGGACAAAGCTACCTGCTGCTGATTAGAGATGAAGGAGGCCCTCCGGAGGCTCAGGTGAGCATCTCTGAGAGCCTTGGCAGCCTGAAGCCTCGCTTTCCCTGCTTTTAAAAACCTTCCTTCAGAAGAACTGGCTTTGCTTTGTTCAGCCCTGGGTCCCTCTCATCCCTCTGCTGGGAAAATTCCTACATCGCCCTCAGGTGAAAAAGATTTTATTCAGAAAATGTTTGGGATTTCAATTAGAGTGCATTAAAGAGTCTGGGTAGAAAATATTTGGTATTACGAGTAAAACTGTGTAAATGAGGATATACAGTTAATGTCTCTTGAAAGCCCAATCCGTGTGTTTCCCCTGGTGACAAAATTGTGTGTTACAGTCAAGTTCTCTTCCGATTTTAAAGCTCTAAATTGTTAAAATATGAAGTAGACATGCACACAGTGACACACATACTTGTGTCCAAATCTTTGCATTCCCTGCTGCTGCCATATTTTGCTGTTTAAGACTCAACTTGGCAAGTTCCAGTTCAGCACCTCTGAGTTCCTGGATTTCTGACTGGGAATTCTGTGTGTGCTGTGTTACCTCCTTCTCTCACAGCAGGTGACACGTCAGGAGTTAATAGAATTACAGAAGGGTTTGGGTTGGAAGGGTCATTAAAGCTCATCCAGTCCCACCCCTGCCATGGTCAAGGACACCTTCTACTAGCCCCAGTTGGTCCAAGCCCTGTCCAGCCTGGCCTTGGATGGCCAGAGGATGAAGTTCACTGTACTTTTGGCTTCTCCTTTTGCCACGTTGTTCTTGCAGANCTTGGCAAGTTCCAGTTCAGCACCTCTGAGTTCCTGGATTTCTGACTGGGAATTCTGTGTGTGCTGTGTTACCTCCTTCTCTCACAGCAGGTGACACGTCAGGAGTTAATAGAATTACAGAAGGGTTTGGGTTGGAAGGGTCATTAAAGCTCATCCAGTCCCACCCCCTGCCATGGGCAGGGACACCTTCCACTAGCCCAGGTTGCTCCAAGCCCTGTCCAACCTGGCCTTGGACACTTCCAGGGATGGACCAGCCACAGCTTGTCTGGGCAACCTGTGCCAGGGCCAAACCACCCTCCTAGGGAAGGATTTCTTCCCACTATCCCATCTTAAATCAACCATTGCTTAAATCTGCACAGACTCAGCATGTCTGCAGGCACCGTCCTTGTCCTGGGCATCTTCCTCCTCCTCCTCCTCCTCCTCCTCTCCTTACCTGGGCACCCACAGAGTTTCCCAAGTGTGTTGGCTGCTGCTGTCCTTGCTTTGCTGGGCTGTTCAGGGATGGATCAGCTTCCAAACAAGCAATAATTGAGCATCAGGAGCAGCTGAAGGGGAGCGGTGCCAGCAGCAGCAGCTCGGGTTTCACTGCACCACTTTAGCTGCAGGAGGGGAAGGTGCCCGGACAAAGGGGAAGAGAAAGGAGGTGGAGGAAATGGAGACGGAGAGAGACATCCTGGAAGGAAGTTAAAAGACAAAAAAATGAGTGTTGCTGGCACATCTGCAGCCCTGTCAGCAGGAGCCTACAAGGAGTGCTCTGTTTGGGGCTGGGAGGGATTTGGCTGAAGCTCCCCACAGCTTCCAGGCCCTGGTGCTTAGAGAACATTCACTCATCTGAAAACATGAATACTGGAGGTGTTAAGGTACACACAGCAATGGGAAATGTTTTTCTGCCCAGAGAACTGGGTTTTCAGAGTTTGTCTCAGCTAAGTGCAGACTAATGAACAGGCACGGGGTGTGCTTTTGGTGAGGTAAACTTGGGGGTTTAATTACTATTGTCTGATGGAAGGTGTCCCTGCCCATGGCAGGGCATGGAACAGGATGAGTTTTAAAGTCCCTTCCAACCCAAACCATTCTGTGGTTCTGTGGCTCAGATTTGTTCTTCAGCAAGTCATAAGGATGGAGGGGTTTAAGGTGTCACCTTAAGTGCTGTTTCACCTTTCAACACATGGGTTTCACAGGTAAATCCCCTTTGGAGTTTTTGGGTATAATCTCAGGTCTTATGTGTATTGAAAGTCTTCAATCATTTTATTAATTCCTGGAATGAAAAGTTCATTTCTGGGTTCATGAATAATTGGGATAGAGTTATGACCTCCTAAGGAGGATAAGTTCATATTATAATAAAAATGTAAGTAGGTAAGTATGTAATAAGGAACTGAACTGTGCTGTTCCTGGCACTGGGCCAGGGAGATTTCCCCAGGTTGCTTCCCCCTTCTTTTTGCCAGGAAGGGACAGAAAACAAACTCCCCTGAAGACTCACTTCGTGGGTCTATGATCTCTGTTTTCTTTGTCTAAGATAAAATTGCTCAAAGATGAAAATAATTCCATTTCCTGTTGTAAAACCCAATTAACATAGTAACCGACCTATAACAGGCTGTTGCATGCTATTTTCTTGAAATGTAAAGTTTTTTTTTAATATAATTTGGTTTTGAGCTTTCCTTGAGCTACCAGCTGTGCTCAAGTCCTCTCTGAGGATGGATTTGTGTTACAGCAGCTGACCTACCCTTATTTCAAGCTATTCCCTGCACAGTGCTGTGGATAAGACATCCAGCATTTCCAGACCTCGTGTATTTCCCAAAATTCCTTGGGTTTTTAGTACCATAGGTCTGATATCGACAAAGATGAAGCTTTATTTCAACATAAAAAGAGAAATAAGAAATTACTGGAAATATTCTGTGTCTGGAGGAACTGCATTGTATAAATCTGTGGATGTTTTAAAATGATCTTCATTAGAAGGCTGCTGCTGCACACTGAGCAAATCATTTAGAAGGATTAGGGAGACTTTAAGGATATTGTAGTTGTAGGGAGGAGTTCTTGGCATGATAGTGCTGAGTCCAATCAGAGAAAACTATTTATAGTGAGACCCAAACCCACAGTAACGCTGCTGTCTCCAGTTCCTCTGGTTACATCTTCTGGGTTGAACAGTTCAGATTTCCCAGTGTGGTGGTTGACCTTATCCTGGCAGTAACTGTGCTGTGTGTCACCAGTCCTGTCTTTACCCTCTGGAACATTGGCTTCCTGACTGTCTTGAAAACCTCAAACCATTTCTGGCTGTTTTTACACCATAATGGTGTTTGGTGTCCATAGTGTCCATACAAGACAGTCCTGAATATGCAGAACCTTTCCCCAGTGAACCTCCTTGCAGCCCTTTCTGTTCAGCATCCCCCCAGTGTCCCTGACACATAGTAATGACACAAAGAGCATGAAAATGCCCATGGCTGAAGCTTCTTTCCATTGCTCTAAATTTGGGTAGGAATGGAGTCACTTAGGCAAAAATAAAGGCAGTGAGGTAAGCTTTACTTCAGTCTTTTCTTGGTGTCCTGTGTGTGTTCACTGTTAAGTTAAATGTCTTTAAACAATCTTATTTCACTTGTGTGAGCTGAAACCTTCCCACTTGCATGGTCACCTGAGGGCACCTTGCCTTGGCCTGTGCACCTGCATGTCTCTTAGCAGGCTGCTGCTGCTCTTCCTCTGAAAGCAGAACGAGGCATTCGGTGCTGTTGGCTCAATGGAGAGTGTAGAGTGAAGGACTGGAAATCTCAAATTACTGGGTTTGGGTACTGGTCAAGATGTGAGAATTCCTAGCAAGGCTCGTCCTGGCAACATGAGCATGCATGCATGGAAATCCCAGGGGGGGAATACCACACTAAGTCAAGTGCCTGGACATAAGTGTTACACATGCACAGGTTTGGAAATCTGGGCCTGCCATGTTTTCTGGGGATCAGACCCAATGTGCACTGATAGTAGTTGAGCTTGTAGAATCAGACCCCAGTGAGGAAGGGATGCTGTTGTGAGTGTGGGGAAAAATTTGGTGCCTCCCAGACCCCCATTCCCTGCAGAGTGAGGACATTCATCATTTTAGAAGCTGATGCCACTTTTAAGGCTTTGGTTATTGTCACTAAGTTTCTCTGCTGTGTATTTCCCACCAAGGAAGGTAAGAATGTTTCTCCTTTTCTTTTTTTCTCTTTTCCCCTCTGTGCTGCTGTTCTCACAGTCTGCCCTCTCTGGTTTCCTCCTGCAGTTTGCCATGTGGGTGGATGCTGTTATCTTTGTCTTCAGCCTGGAGGATGAAGTCAGCTTCCAGACCGTGTACCACTACTACAGCCGGATGGCCAACTATCGCAACACTAGTGAGATCCCCATGGTCCTGGTGGGAACACAGGGTAAGGGCAGGCTTCATTCCCAGGGCTGGTTTTCTGACCACAGGGACTGTTCCAGGCTGGCAAAGCCACGTCCTGTCCTTTCGCCTTTGCAGCAGGGCCGGGGCGTTGTGAGGACTGGTTTGAGGTGGGAGACAAAAGTCCTGGCTGCACTCTGGGAGAGGGGGTGTGGGGCTCCAGCAGGGATGAAAGAGGGGGGATATGGAAGGAATTCTTCCCTGGGAGGGTGGGGAGGCCCTGGCACAGGTTGCCCAGAGAAGCTGTGGTTGCCCCTGGATCCCTGGAAGTGTCCAAGGCCAGGTTGGACGGGGCTTGGAGCAACCTGGGCTGGTGGAAGGTGTCCCTGCCCATGGCAGGGGGTGGAATGGGATGAGCTTTGAGGTCCCTTCCAACCCAAGCTATTCCAGGATGTTATGACTTACAAGGAGATTTTTAAATAGTATTTTCAGTGCTTGCTGGTCACGGTGGTTTTCTTGCTTGGCAGGGACATGCTCACGTTGAATTTGGGCAGGTGCATCAGTTGTGTAAAGAAGGTCTGAAGTCCAGTTTCCATGTGCTTGGCAGTCCAGAAGTGTTCAACACCTTGCCATTGCTAAGAGGCAAACGGATCAGGGGTGGAAAACCTCCAGCAGCACGTTGGGAAGCAGAACTGATCCATGTCCCCATGCAGTGCCTCCAGGAGGCCTCTGTGTATCAAACAGAAATGCAGTTTTTTGCCACCTGAGACAGGCCCCCCCCAGTTTTTCCAAAATTCCTTCTGGAGCAGCAGCTAATCACAGCTGTCCTACAGGGAAATGTGGCAAGGGAATGGTACTTACAATCTTTCAATGTCTTTGGCATTTGAGTTGTCTTTTGGATATTCCCTGCCTTGCTTTGCCAGTGCATCCCTTATTATTTCACCAGTTTCCCATGCCATGGTTTGCTGGGTGGAGTAGACACACGAGAGTTGAGGCTGCTCTGCTCCTGGCCATGTAGATCACAGAACCGTGGAATCATTGGGGTTGGAAAAGCCCACTAAGATCATTGAGTCCAGCCATTAACCCTGCACTGCCAAGGCCACCACTAACCTGTGTCCCCAGGTGCCACATCCACATGTTTTCTGAACACCTCCAGGGTTGGTGACTCCACCACCTCCCTGGGCAGCCTTTGCCAGGGATTGACAACCCTTTTGGTGAAGAGATTTTTCCTAATATCCCACCTGAACCTCCCCTGGCACAGCCTGAGGCAGTTTCCTCTCATCCTGTCGGTTGGGAGCAGAGCCTGAGCCCCACCTGCCTCCACCCAGCTCCCTCAGCTGCTCCTCACTCCTTTTGAGTTCCTTCCCACTGGATCTGGATCTCTTTCCAAGTCTATCACTAGGTTACTGTGCTGTGTTAGAGGGAGAACACAAGTGTCAGGAGTTGTTCTGGTAGGTTCAGTTTTGGCCATCTTCCTCTTTGGTCTGTGCCAGTTGGTTTGGTTGTGTGGAAGCTTTTTGCTGCTTTCTCAGCCTGTTTTTTGTCAGCCCTGTGGTCAGAGAGCACTTTGCGTCGCTCTGCCTCCCGCGGAGCGGTGACAGCCTGGAAGGAGCAATCACAACCCAGCTGCAGGGTGGAAACAGATGATGAGAAGTGAAAGGGGAAGTAGGGACACAAAAAGCCTTAGGACAGCAGAACCCACACCAAAAAGCAGAAAGGAGCTGCTTGGAAGGGCCGCGCTGTCGGCGTGGAGCTGGAGCTGGAAAGGCGAAGGGGAAATGTTTCTCTGAGCTGTTTTCCTTTGTGCCCTGCTGACTCTTTGGGCTATGGTTTCCCATCTCCTTCCCGTTATTATCAGGAAGGAATTTGGTTTTTTTCAAAGTTCGCTTTCTGTTGCAGCACTGATGCAAAGGGGATTTTTAAAAATGTGGCTAAAGATGGAAATACTGCTAATTCTGAGAGCAAGCATCAGGACAAAAATACAGCTTTTTGGCTGTACTTGACAGTCAAACAGTGCAGTGCAATGCAACATATGAAATACATAAATACACCTGTTAAAAATACATTTGAAATATACTTATTTGATATCACAGAGTTACAGAATGGTTTGGGTTGGAGGGGGTCTTAAAGATAATCTCATCCCAACCCCCTGCCATGGGCAGGGACACCTTCCACTATCCCAGATTGCTCCAAGCCCCCTCCAGCTTGGACTCCTTGGTTTTGACTGGTATTCTTGAAATGAGACATGAGATGAAATCTCTTCCAAATGCTGGCACTTGCCTGATGCTTTCAGATGTTCTCCCCTGACTTCTGAAGCCAGCTCAGTGCCACAGCCTGACCAGAACAACAAGGCAAACTTTTCCAAGCCCTGGTGTTCCTTATCAATTCCATTCTGGTTAAATGTTGTCAGCGCCCTCTGCTGAAAAAAAAAAGTGTCTGTTACTTTTCCAAATAACTGCTTTATTTGTGTTCAGTGGATCTGATGAGAAGGTAATGATAACATCAGCTGAAGGAGGGTCCTGTCATGCCCAGGGCTGAGCTGCAAATCCAGCCTTGCTATAGGCACTGACTTCATGCTTAGGAGCAGAGTTTTAGGACAGCTTTTTGGGCAGCTGTAAATGCTGAAATTGGTGCCTGTCATAGAATCCCAGAATAGTTTGGGTTGGCAAGACCTTAAAGCCCATCTTATTCCACCCCCTGCCATGGGCAGGGACACCTTCCACTAGCCCAGGTTGGTCCAAGCCCTGTCCATCCTGGCCTTGGACACTTCCAGGGATGGGGCAACTTCAATAGCTGTATCTGTTTTTATTTTAATTATAATACATCGGCACATTTTTAATTGCCTCTCCTGAAAATGTTCTATTTCTTAAAAGCACATCATGTTTTGTGCTTCAAACACTAGTTACTTGTTAGGAACTGATACTTACAGGAGGCCTGAAAATCATTTGACATGTTTGTAGTAATCACCCACTTGTTTTGCTAGGTACATTTTACATCAGATCTCATGTTATTTCCTGTGACTGTGTATTTTTTTGCAACCGCTGACCTAAATATATGTATTTAAGGTAAACAAAAAGCATTGGAGGTTTTTCCCCTGGTTTTTGGAATCAGCGTGCTGGTGATTTTAGTAAGGAGGTGTAACATTAGTGATGTGAACCTCTGGCATCTCTAAAAATTCTGAAATTCTCATGGTTTGTACTTAAATTGGTTGTTTGGGGTGCTGGTCATTAAAAGAGGAAACAGCCTCATGCTGTGCCAGGGGAGGTTTAGATTGGACATTAGGAGAAATTTCTTCATGGAAGGGGTTGTAAAGCATTGGAAGGGGCTCCCCAGAGCAGTAGTGGAGTCACTGTCCCTGGAAGTGTTCCAAAGGCATGTGAGTGTGGCACTTGGGGGACATGGTTTAGTGGTGAACACGGTGGTGGTGCTGGGCTGATGGTTGGACTTGATGAACTTAAAGGTCTTTTCCAACCTTAACGATTCTGTGACTCCGACTGACAAGATGATGTTTTCAGATGATATTTAATCCCTGTTTTTCCCTGCTGTTGCTGCAGATGCCATAAGCTCCACTAACCCCCGGGTCATCGATGATGCCAGAGCCAGGAAGTTGTCAAATGACCTCAAGAGATGCACCTACTACGAGACCTGTGCCACGTACGGGCTCAACGTGGAGAGAGTCTTCCATGACGGTACACGAGACCTTTTTCACCCAGTATATCACTCAGTCTTTAAATAACCACCTGTGTCTGATAGCTCAGGTATTGCCCTGTTTGCCAAGCATTCATTAATGTTTAAATGCTTATTTTTAGGGCCTTTGTTACATTATCTGGAGTGGAAGGCTCCTCGTGCTGAGCACAGCACACTGACGCTGATGTTTTCCCTACCAGCACCTTTAGTCTTAAGCATCTATTTTTAACTTTTATTTAATTTTCAGTTTTCTCTGGCACTTGCTTTATTTTAACAAAGTTTTCTTTGATTTGATTTAGTGCTTGTGGAGAAGCTCTTTGTGCAGAGTAGTTGATAATTAAATTGTATGTTTGAATACCATGGTATTCATGGAGTGTTAGAAGTTGAGAGGTGGATAGTTGGCTTTGAACTGATGAGAAGGTAGATTGGAAATTGGGAAGAAATCCTTCCCTGGGAGGGTGGGGAGGCCCTGGCACAGGTTGCCCAGAGAAGCTGTGGCTGCCCCTGAATCCCTGGAAGTGTCCAAGGGCAGGTTGGACGGGGCTTGGAGCAACCTGGGCTAGTGGGATGTGGTGGTATGAGATGAGCTTTGAGGTCCCTTCCAACCCAAACTATGCTTTATTTATCATGTGATTCCATGAGAGCCTTGTGCGGGGGCTTTGATGATCCTTGTGGGCCCCTCCCAACTCAGGGTGTTGTGTGATTCCCTGATCCTCAGGTTGGAGCGTGGCTGCATGAGATGGGCTCTGTGCCCCCTCTAGTGGAATTTCCACCAGGAGGCTTTGCCGGCTTTCCTTCTCACTGCTCGTCTGGTGGCTGAACGTGTCAGCCCCTCATCACAGCAGTTTGGCTGTGCCTGAAAACCTTCTTAATTAAGTGTAAATGTTTCTCAGAGCTCCTTAGTTCTGTGGGTTGGTTTGGTGTCAGCTGTTCATTGCAGATTCCTGCGCTGTCTGGGGTTGTGTGAGGCACTTTCCCCTCAGCATCCAGCAGAGGTGTGTACAAAGGCCTCTCAAATAGAAAGGCAAAAATTTCATATTGTTACATGGAATAAAAAGGCAAAACATCCTACTGTCTGCGTGGGGGGAAATAGCAAATCATTGTAATTTTTGCATGGGAAAAAAAAAAGCAAAACATCCTGATTTTACATGGAAAATTCTGATGTGCACTGCAGTAGTTTAATTCCAAATAAGATGTTTTTACTTGTCCTTTTGATCAGATTTCAAGCTGCATCTTTGTGCTTTGCTCCCTGTTTTCTCTTGAACTAGTTGGAAAAATTACTGTTTTCACTGCCTAGATTTTCTGTATTGATTAGGAGTTTCCAACAGCCATTAGGGGTTTTTGTTGTTAGCACATTTATTTTGGAGTGCTAGCTATAGTTAGATTTTTAATTACATATTCCAAGTCGTGGTGTTTGTGGCTCTTTCTGCTGTCTGCTCCTCTTTTTTTTTTTTCTTTTCTCAGAGACCTTTTGAGAGAAGTCTCTTGGCACAAAGCTAGTGGGATAAACTTGTAAGCTTCCAGGGGGCTTATTTGTCTCTCTGCTAAATTTAGTAGCAAGTAGAAAGAATTGACAGAGCTCATGTGTTTAAGAAATATCAAGGTTTTGTTTTACCTACGTGGCAGGCAACCAACTCTTTAATATTGGCCAACTAATAGGATTAGAAATGCTTCTGTATAAATGGGTTACACTTGCCAGACATGTCTGGGACCGGATCCAATTCCTGAGAATTTTTGCTGGTTATTTCAGCAGCAAACAAAGCAACTTCTTAACCCCATTAAATGAGGGGGTGTGAATGAGCAGTGCAAGCTGCTAATAGGGAGCACTTGATTAAATGACACTTGGTTTGTGGAACTTCAGAGTTGAGCAGCCTGGTCTAGTGGAAGGTGTCCCTGCCTGTGGCAGGGGGTGGAATGGGATGAACTTTGAGGTCCTTCCAAACCACTCTGTGGTTCTGTGATGTGACCTGAAAAAAACCCTTCTTGATGTAAATATTGTCAATGAACTAGGAAAAGAAGGGACAATGGGAGGGGGGCTAGGCCAAGTAGGGGTCTTCACATAGTGTGTTCTTAAGCAGTTCCTGTTATTTTGAGGAAACTGTAAGTTGGGGCTAGAGCCTTCCTGAATTATCTGTGTTTTTCAGCAAGCTTGGGGGGGGGGGGTACAGGCAATTAATGCATTTCATTAATAGCTGAATGGATAAGACAGGTGGGGGTTTTTTACTGTGTAACTCAGGAAAAAGAGATGTTAACAACTTAGTAGCTGTTTGCAAGACATGGAGCTACTACACCTATTAGGATGTCTTCTGTGTATTGAAATTATGTTTAGACTTTTCTCCCAGCTGGATAGGATTTAGGTGTAGGATTTAATCAGTGTTTATTGTACTCCAGGGTAGGTGATGCTTGGTGATTATATCCTCCAGGTGTTTCTTTGGGAGGTCTGTGAGGGTACTTCAGTATGTTGCCCAAGGTCCCTCAGCTTTTGGTGGCTTGTAACTTTGTGGAACACTTCAGTTCCTTTGAATTTTTACAGTAAGGATGCAATAGGTAGGTGGGGTTTGGTTTAGTCACATTACCTTTAGTGCTCTTATTTTGCACTCGGTGACTCCCATTTGATGTTTTTAAATCAAGTTGAACTCTGTGCAGTGTTTTCTATCACCTCTGATTTACGACAGAATTTATGTTCTGAGTGCACACTGTTCTTCTTCCCCATTCTGTTTTTCAGGAGCCCTGAGTTGGTAAATCTGACACTGACTGTGAATTGCCTTTGTCCAAACCCCTGTTACCAACCCAGAGGCTTTCCTTTAGCACACAGTTAGTGGACTGTGACACCAGTTCCTAGTTTAGGCTGTTTTACAAGCTTTTTCTAAAATGTAGGTTCTTTTCCTGTTTGTGCTGGTCCTTGCTGTGATGCAGACCTACCTTTCGAAGGATGGAATTGGAAATGGCATTGAAGGGCCTTTTACTCCTTTGTTGCACACACGTTAGAAATTAAAATACTAATTTTTCCCCTGCAAGCAGCCACTGAACTGTTCGTGGTCGTCTGTTATGATTCTTGTCTTTATAACTCACTTCCTATTTTCCCCACAGCAGAGTGGTAAAATAATTTAACTTGAATGATTATTGTTAGCATGAAAACGCTACTTTATTCTTGAGTTAAATCCAAATAAATCGTTCCCAACGCTCCATTACAGCTGATAAGTTCAGTATTGATTGTAGCAGAGACAGAATCATAGAATCACTTGGATTGGAAAAGACCTCCAAGATCGTAGAGTCCAGTGAATGCTGCTGAAGTGAAACAGGATTTTGCCCATTTTAGAGGGTGTTTCAGCCTTGTCCCACTTGGGTCTAAGATACTGTTGGAATTTGCAGCTGCATGAGCAGGTCCTGAATTTCAGGCTGAAATGAAAAAGAAAAATTCCAGGTTCCAGGGAATTAGTGTGGTAACATGCCCAGGCACGGAAGAGAATAAATTCTTATTTAGTTTGTGGTGTTTGGAGTTGTTGAACGGGGAAAATGTGTTTAAAAAAGAAGATAAATGCCAATAAGATCTGTTTTTCTTCAGATTTCCCAATTAAGAATTAGTGGATTTTTTTCCCCCTGCTTATCAGAACGGATTTTATCAATGCCATTGGAAATGATTATTTTAATATTTCTTGTCAGCACAGTATTGTAATGACTGTGTACTGCCCCAGGATGCCTTTTTAATGATTTTAGCCTTCTTGAATTAGCTTGATGTACCATTAATGCATGAGAATTGCTTTTATTTCTGTTCATCATGTATCCAATAATTACTCATCCCTCCCTGCTTCACGTTCAGATTTTCTCTGACCCATTTAACTGTGTGCTCTGTGATTCTCTGACTTCACAGAGAAGCAGACCTTCAAACATTTAGAGGATAAAATTTTACCATCAGCATGGCTTGGCATTGGGGGGTGTGAAACAAAAGGGTTTGGGTCTAACTTTGATTCAGAGTTGAGTCCAGCCAAGGAAGTTTTACTTTGTATGGCTGGTTGTAACACACAGATTTTGAAATAAAACTGCCCAAAATAGCAATAAAATAGTGAATATTGAGGCAGGAGTTGCAGGTGTGTGATGGCAGCTGCCTCACAATGCCGTTAGCTCTGGTGCTGTGCTACTCTCATTATTTTTGGATGCTTTACTTGCAAATTAACTAAGTTTTTTAAGGAATGTTCTGCTCTGTGTAAAAATTTACCAGCAATATTTTATTTCCAAGTGCAAATAACATTTCTAATGTGGTGGTGAGCAAAGGTGTCTGAAAGGGGAACCTTGAGGTACCGATTCTCCATTACGGGATGGGAGCTGACAAATGGATCCTGGTACAGCCAGAGCGCAGGGAAGGGCTGTCACTTGCCATCAGCATCATCAAGTCAGCTTTTATAGATGTGTTTTCATTAGGAAATGTTAATCAGCCTAATGGGAAGCAAATAAAGTCTCGGTCCATCCTGACAGCTGTTTTGGGAAGAGGCAACATTCACTCAGGCCCTGGATGTGGCCTGGGGGATTCTCCGCTCGGCGGGCGGGAGGCTGTGGCTGAGGGGAACCCCAGTGAGGGGCAGAGCTGGGGAGAACCTCCTTTGGCTCCAGGAATTCCTTGGATTTGGGTTTGGTACAGCATCTGGAGTGATGTGCCGGGGCTCAGGGCTGGGCTGGAGCAGCTGCTGACACAGGGACAGCCTCCGTGTGGCAAAACCACCGGGAAAACACCAGCTGGGGTGCTGGAGTCCAAACAGTTGTGTTTTCCTCTTCTGTGGTTTGTTTATTGTTTGTTTGGGGTTTTTTTTAGTAAGAAAGAGACAGGGGGGATGTAGTTTTTCCGCTGGGTGTTGAGGCTTAGCCGGGAACCACAAGCGCTGGGCCCGCGTTCGGTTCGAGCCCCCGCTGGTTTTAAGCCCCGGTTTTAAGCCCCGGTTCAATTCGAGGCCCCGTGGGCGCCTAAAGGAGCATTGGAATTTAACGTTAATTCCAATTCACGTTGGAA